ATGTCATTTCTCGTCTCTGGACCGGGAGTTCTGCACTTGCTTACCGACAACTATTGATATTGTTAACTAACGACAGCTGTGGCAGTCCCCCGCTCAGCGCAGTGGTAGCGCGCCAAGTGACACTTGAGGACACTCTAGCTTCGAATCTCACCGCGGCCAACATCTTTTTCCGTCATCAAATTCAACACATCGTGGACAACGCTCCTCACGCCACACAGCCAATGATGGGCCGCGCTTTTTTCCAAGATCGTTCTTGCCACTGGCTGTCGTTAATTAATGACACCACATTTGTCGGTGGATACAGAATCCCGACCCTGACGTCACACAACATATGTCGCGCCGCGAGAGAATCAAGTCTTAATATTATCTTTATACGATATTAAAACAAATATAAAATCCTAATATATAATTCATATTTACAAACACGCACGCACGCACGCACAAAAATTATCAATTGCGAAAGATAGGCTAAAAAACAAAATAATACGATTAATTTCAAGTTTTGCAATTAACAATTCCTAAATTTAATCAACCGCTAAAGCTAATTGATGATGGATAAACCAGCTATATGAAGAAATGAATTACTCTGAACAAAAATGTAATGTTGCATATACACATAGAAATATTAAATAAAAATCAAACGCGTCTTAAACACTAATTTCAGTCTATTTGTCATTTATGAACATGATAAATATACAACTTATACAAATTATACATATATGTATTATTCGTGCGACTGATTACAAGCATTTGTACAAGTTATTATAGAGGTATGTGCAAATTAAAGATGTAATCTTTTATAATACTTCCATACTATCTATATCTACTCCGATATCAAGAAAATCATCAGTATAATCTTGAACATGTCTCTGTATCAGTGGATGTTCGGAATGATCAGGATCATCCGTTACAGGACTAGGTGGCGGATTTGATACTGTACGATCAGAATCTACTGGCATTCTATCCATGCCTTCACCACGTCGCAATCTTGCCTCCTCTGCAATTTGTCTTGTCGAGAGTTCCGCTCTTGTTAATAAAGCTGGTAAATCCTTTTCGGATCCATCTGTAATTTTTTAAAAAGATATTTGCATCAAAACATTTTCTTTCAAAAGAAAATTTATATCTTACTTAAATTGAATGTTATAATGAAGAATGAATTACCTTCAAAGCTTCTCCTTAGTTCTTGCGTTTTTTGTCTTTCTGAATTGCCAACTTTTTTTCTCTGTTCACTGCTCTCTTTTTGGTCGTAAAAAAATATTTCCCTTATTTTTTCTTGAGGGATATGTTCATCATTTTTTATCAACCAAAAGTATACTCCACCAGCAGTTCTTCTACGAGATCCATTCATAATTAACATTCCACCATCTTCTTCGATCTCTTTCGTTTTTTGGAAAAAATCAATGGCTTTTTGTTTGCCAATTATGTCCACTACACGCCCTACAATATATAAAATAGTACGTTATAAATCATGGATTTATATGTATAGAAATTTATAATTAACATTTATACAAAGATAAAATAATGAAAAGAAAATATTTCTCATATATTTTAATCATTTAAAACATACAATTAATTAATCTATTATTATATAATAGTCATGATCAAATTAAAATAAGAATCTTTTATACTTTTAACAAAAGTTAAATTTGTCATTTCTCTAGAGAATTCTTCTGTAATTCTATAGTTCTACTTAAAAAGCCATATTCAATTACTAAATATTTATTAAAATTTATAATGATTTGAAAAACTTTCTGAAATATATATTCTTACTTATTAGAAGTGCTTTTTTTTCACTCAGTTTATTCGTTATGTCGGTGGCAACGTCAGCATCTGTTGAATCCACAGTTGTAGATAAATCTGCTATTATTCTAATGGAACCTTTTTGATTGTCCAAATCCATTAAATTTTTCTTTTTCCTAATCTAAGTTTCACATCCCGTCTATCCGAGTTTGTTCTTTTATTAGTTAATCTATGTTCAACATCCTTTTCTTCGTCAGAACTATTATTATTATGTGATTGCTTGCCATTCCCTGTATATCGTAAAGTAAAATTATAACTTTCAACACTACGTTCTTGATACAACTTTTTTGTAACACCACATGATGTCAAGTCTTCGGTCAAAGATTCTTCCTGCATTTGTGTACACCATACTTTGTACTTATCATTTTTGGTTTTCAAATCTTTCCAGAGATGTTTATTCTTTTTCAACTTAAGTTTAGGTTTTTTAGTATTAATCTGTGTAGAATCTGAGTCAGAATCACTTTCAGAATCTGCAGATTCATCAGATTCATCACTATATCTCATTTTAGTATATATGTCTGTAACAGGTGTCTGCTTCACATAAGGTCTTTGTAAAATTTTATAAGTTCCAAAGATATCACTGGGCTATAATAAAAATAAAATAAAAATAAATTAAAAATATTGATTCCAAAATATATGCTATATGTAATAATTTACAAAAATATAGCTTAAAGAGCCATATAATCAAAGATATTTATTTTCCCTTTATCCAAAACTGACTCTATAAAAATTTAAAAAGCTTAAGCCCTTCCCTTTCCACTCTTCATAATAAGCATAATTTGTTGACATTGGTAATTTACATTATAGTTAGAACAATATATAGTATTTTATTTACTTTTTTACTGTTTAACTTAGACATTAAAAATATGCTAGTAAATATTAAAATTTTTTTCACCTTTACTCATATAAGATTGTTAGAAACTGTATAGGACATTTCAAATTATATAAATAAACACGAAAGAATAAAAATTATAAATATTTTGTCAATACATTGCAACTGGCTTTTCTTTATATTGTTTTACATTTGAGTAAATTTTGTGTCGAGATGTAGTACATTCAGATCCTACACATGATAAAAAAGATTACTCAAAAATAAATAAATAATGCAACCTGATTATTTTCATACCGACAATTTAAAAAATAATATAATTTATTCGATTTATACACATATAATAAAAAGTTTATATTTAATAGATTTATATGAAGTACAAATAAAATACGCAATATCTAACCTCATCGTCGACAATCTCGCCATCCTCCAGCTCTAATGGCTCAGCTTCCATTTTTCCGAATATTTACTTTTCTTTCTTTTTTTTTCTTATAAAGAAAAACCGTCTTGTCGTATGCGGGCACAAAATCCAAGAATCTATGCTTTAAATAATATGAAAAAAAAACAAAATTGCTTCCTCAGAACTTTTCTCTCGCGACGATAGATTAGTCTAACACAGTGTTTTAATCATACATTTTTATTTAATTCTTCTGAGGCAATGCAAAATTTTCATTTCTTACCCCGTCTGCCTTTTATGAACTGCATAATTAACTTTTTTTGGTTATTGGTTAGTTCGACCAAGCCAAAAACCAAACTGAACCAAGCTCTCAAATGATCAAAATTAGGGCCGGAGCATATATTTCTACATAAGAGTGAATCCCCACTGAGCGCGTCACGCGCGCGTCATCCGTCGCGTCGCGAATTGACCAATCAAAACATCTCATTTTATTGTATCATTTGCCGCGCGACTCCTTGCACGACGCATGAGTTGCTCGATATTTTAGAGACAAAAGATTCTCAACAAGAAGGAGAAAATAGATCCCAAATCGCGCACGTTTA